TTCATTGTGCTGGGCTGTTTTGATTCTTTAATGGTATAGATTCCTTTGCAAATAAATATGCTGTATTTGAAAATGAGTTATCTTAATATTCATTCAAATATAAAGTCTCCTCTGAGTCTCAAGGCAATCTCTTAACTGTGACCCTCTGTAAAAATCAAAAACCAAATAACATACTTCTAACATCTAGTTTAACAGAACATATACTTTACCATTCCAAAAGGGAGGATTGGGGGTGTTGTGAGGAAGTACTGGATCTCAGCAATTTCTGATTTCTAATTCCTCCTCATTCAAGCATTGGAGGCCTGTCAGATCAAAGATACAGTCCTTTAACTGGTTGGTGTCTCCACCTGTCCTTATTGTGTACTTCTGCATGATATAGAGATTTCCAGGAAGCTTTTTTATTTGATTCCTAATAGTGGGTTGGACTAAGTACCTTTGTTGCAGTTCTTACACTTGTAAAATAATTTTGACATATTTTATTTTTAAGGGTACTATCAGAGTTGTAAAAGACAAACCATAAACCTAAAACTTGAATTGTGTATGTCATAGCTAATTCCATGTGAATCTGAATGGCACATACACGTATTTATTGAACACAGCTTTTCCTTTTTAATGGCAGTTGCATTTCTATTAAACATTATGCTTTCAAAGTGGTGCTTTGTCCTTATCTGTAACTGTGAAAATGTGAAACATTGAAATGAATGCCACCACAGCATCTCCTAATGGCAACTCATATGACCCTGGACACCCCTCCCCCCAAATAGACGGATGGATGGATGGATGGATGGATGAATGGATGATTGAACTTTCCTAGGCTTCGAAATACGTGGTCTTAATAGTTTTTCTTATGTTGCCAGATGTTTTGCAGCTAACACTGTTTTTTCTTTTCTTTCTTCCTTATCAAATAATTAACATACTTTCAAGAGTTCTTAAAATAAAAGAAAATTGGCATTCTGTTCCCTGGCTATGCTGACTTCAAATTTTAGAATGTTAAGCTTTGTTAACATGTTGTACCAATAATCAAATTAAATATTGGTATTTGTTTTGGTTTATGATGATGTTAGGATATTTTACCGTGTTACTTTTTTTTTTTTTTAATGTTTAGGTGCCTCCTCTAATTACAAAGACTGATTCAGATCCTGAACATTGTCGAGTCTCAGCTCAGCTTGATGATAACGTGAGTTAACTTTATCCTGTAATCTTAATTACAAAATAACTTTATTCTGTAATTTTAAGCTATAATTCCAATCATTTTTGGCTGATTTTTTTAATAAATGTGTTTTTAAAAATGTTTCATTCATTCAGTTTTCCATATTATATTAAACCTGGTAAATTTTTACAGGTTGAACATATGTTCCTGACTTCAGCATTTTAATTTACAGACAAACACAAACCCAGAAATCACTATGGCCTACAAACCACCTTCCTCCCGCCATGTCACAATCCTCACCAACAGATTTAATGCTCTCCTAACTTTTACATGGCTTTTGTATTTTATACTTTTAAGTGAAACTATAAGGATATACTCCCTAAAGTCTGTTTTTTGGTTGCTGTTCAACCTGTGATAGTCTTTTATGCTATGTTATTAGTTGTTCTTTGTCAGTTATTGTGCCTTTGTAGTATTTATATTGAATCTTGTAAATTTGTATATTGGACTATGCATAGAACTCTATGAATATTTTAGTTCATATATTAAAATTGAAAAAGATAAATATACATTCTTCTATCTAAAAATTAAATTCCTGAGTCAGAAAATGTATATAAATAAGTTTTAGTATGTGCTAGTAAATACTTTTCCAATCCTGTGTGTGCCATTTGTATTGTCACCCACAGCACATGAGAGTTAGTAGTCTACACCCTGCCACGAGCTAGCGTTTGTGGCTCTGCATGTTTATGTGTGTTGGGCCTTCAGTGTTCAGTCTTGTGGGGGTCTCAGGCTTTTCCTCATTTTTTTATTGGCTCAGCTGCCTTTGTTTTTTGTGTTATATATAGTTCTAAATCAGTAACTATTTTCTGTGTGCATGTGTAATTTTTCACATAAAAGTATTTTTGCTGTTTTCTATTATTTTTTACATCATTGACTGAAGGCTTTTATACTTGTAAGTATGTTAACATTTTTTCTTTTAATTGATTAAAACTTTACATATAAAATATTCTGATCACGCATTTCCTTCTTCTAACTTGTCCTAGGTCCTCCTCACATCCCCATCCACCCAACTCTACAACCCACCTCCCCTTTCTTTAGAAAACAGGCAAGCATGCAAACAAACAAAAGCAATTTTTAAAAAGAGAAAAATATGTACAGATTTTAGTAGATTTATCCTATATTATATGTCTATATGAGTGAGTATATACTGTGTGTGTCTTTCTGCTTCTTAGACAGCTCACTCAGGATGACCCTTTCCAGTTCCCACCATTTACCTGCAAATTTCATGATTTCCTTATTTTTCATTGCTGAGTAATATTCCATTGTGTAAATGTACCACAATTTCTCTATCCATTCCTCAGTTGAGGGGCATCTGGGTTGTTTCCAGCTTCTGGCTGCTACAAACATGGTTGAGCAAATGTCCTTATTGTGTACTTGAGCCTCTTTTGGATATATGCCTTCCTACTAAAATCTGTACATCTAAAGAAACTAATCAAGAGGGAGGACCCTGACTAAAATGCTCAATACCCATCCCAAAAGGCAAAGAGGATGGACATCAGAAGAAGAAGAAGAAGAAAACAGGAAACAAGTTAGGAACCTGCCACAGAGGGCCTCTGAAAGCCTCTGCCCTGCAGACTATCAAAGTAGATGCTGATACCTATGGTCAGCTGTTTGGCAGTATGCATGGAATCTTATGAAAGAAGTGGGAAATAATAAGTTCTGGAGAGGACAGGAACCCCACAAGGAGAGCAACAGAACCAGAAAATTTGAACACAGGGGTCTTTCCAGAGACTCATACTCCAACCAAGTACCATACATTGGAGATAACCTAAAACCCCTGTACAGATGTAGCCCATGGCAGTTCAGTGTCCAAGTGGATTCCATAGTAATGGGAAGAGGGACTGCCTCTGACATAAACTGATTGGCCTGCTCTTTGATCACCTCCCCCTGATGGGGGAGCAGTCTTACCAGGCCACAAAAGATGACAATGCAGCCACTCCTGATGAGATCTGATAGACTAAGATCAGAAGGAAGGAGAGGGGGACCTCCCCTATCAGTAGACTTGGGGAGGGGCATGGGTGAAGAAGGGGAAGGGAAGGTGGAATTAGGAGGGGAGGAGGGAGGGGTTTTTGGGGGGGATACAAAGTGAATAAAGTATAATTAATAAAAGTTAAAAAAAAGAGAAAAAAGGAACACACACATGCATAAAACCCTAAAATCATAAAAACACAAAATTGGAAACTATAATATACAAGCAAAAGACCCGAAAGATAGAAGTGCTCAAACAGAGCAATATGAGACAAAAAGTGTACAAAAAAGTATACTAATTTATTAGTTTGGGTGCTGAATAGGTATACTAATTAATTATTTTAAGTTTTTAATTATATTTACTGATTAATTCTACCAATTATAGCAAGTATACTAATATTAATAACATAATATTAACTATACTAATTAAAGCATAAAATTTGCATATGTTTATAATGTTAGTTTAGTTATGTACTGGGTTGTACTTTGGCTTCTTTTTTGAAAATAGTTATGTATGTGTGTATATATACATATATATAGCTATATATAACATTTATCTAAGCAACATATATTTTTCATTATTTCATCTGTTAAATATAGATAACAAGAATACATTTATTTATATGTCCCACTGTCTGTCTTCTTTCTATCTATCTATCTATCTAGAGATGGGATTTCTTTGCGTAGCCCTGGCTGTCCTGAAACTTGCTTTGTAGACCAGGCTGACCTCAAACTCTGCCTTCTGAGTAGAGGAAATAAAGTTATGCATAAATACCACCACGTGGCCAAATACTTTTATTCTAGTGAAAAATCATCTCCAGAAAATAATTCTCAAATTTAGCATTACATTATCAGACTGCTAAAAGTTACAGCTAAGTGATATTTTTATAGGATTGTCATCATGAATCCACTTCGAGAAGCTTTTTTAAACTACAGCCTAAGAGTTTACTTAACATTGCAGGATTGTAAAATTCTGTATTCCATAAAACTAGCTGTTAGAAGTACTTTTTTCTGAATTAAAATGCAACATCAGCTTTTAAAGGTTTCAATGTGGCATCGTCTCTGGTTTGTTTCAGTAGCATTGTTTGTTCAGTAGAAACAGCCATCACCGTACAACACCTACTCCAGTCATCCTGGTTGTTTTCTTATATTTTTCAGGTGGATGACAATATTCCGCTTAGGGTGATGCTTCTTCTGATGGATGAGGTATTCGACTTGAAGGAGAGAAACCAGTGGTTGCGAAGAAACATCAAGAATTTACTCCAGCAACTCATTCGAGCTACCTATGGGGACACTATTAACAGGTAACTGTGGCTGCTGCCTAGCTGAGAGCCCAGGGTGAGCTGGTGCACTTCAGTGAGTGAATTGCTTGCCTTTGTGCAGACTCTTTCCTAGAGCTTTTAAAGATCGTTAGTTCTCTTCTCAGAAGCAGCTTATCCCCACATTAAAATGTTACTCTGTGAAACTTGTGTCAGTTCTATTTGCTTTAAAGGCTTTCAGCATCCTCATTCAGAATTCTTTCCTTTCAGAAAAATAGTTGACCATGTTGACTGGATGACCTCACCTGAGCAGGTAGCTGACTCAGTGAAGCGGTTCAGGTAAGCCTCAAGACACAGTCGAGTCTTCCATGTAAAGCAGAGGGTAGCGTTGCCAGACCCAGCTAACTGTGCACTTAATGGTCTTTGTTTCTTTCCTGGCCTTATCATTGCTTTTGATGAGCAGAGGTATATGAGAATTAAAAATATTCGAGGCAAATTCAAAAGGTAAAGGCACTTGGCACACCAGACTGGCATCCTGAGTGTGATTTTGGGGAATCTACATAAAGGTAGAAGGAGAGAGTCTACTCCTATGCAGTTGTCCTTTGACCTCCATGAATACACTGTGGCCCTTGGGCCCCCTTCCCCCCCTCACATATATACACATAGAGATATACACACCATGCATATGCACACATGATAATTACTAATAGCTAAGCATTGTTCTGTTTAGCTAGTGATTTTTCTAGCAAAACCACAGAGGGAACATTTCTAAAGTTAAAGTGATAGGCTAGGTTTTATCCTATACAGTAGCTTTAAGATCATTGACATAGTATTAGAAAGCTGGGCACGGTAGGGCTTGGGATAGAGGCAGGAAGATCAGAGGGTAAACATCATCCTTGATTGTGTCATGAATTCAAGAGCTAGCCTGGGCATTTGAAAACTCTGTGTCAGAAACTTAACTTTTTTTTTTTTTTTTTTTTTTTTTTTTAAAAGAAATCTTTGTTTTTTTTTTTAAAATTTTTTTTTTTTTTTTTTTTTTTTTGTCACAGAAATCAGTCATTGACAATTTTAGAAAAATATATTTGTCATTGGTTTGACCTTTAGGTAAATATTTGAGGGCAGTACAAATAAAACATTGACACACTAATTTTTTAATTAAATTTTTATTTTTTACATTAATTACATTTTATTCGTTTTATATCCCAGCTGTAGCCCCCTCCCTCATTCCTTCCCAATCCCACCCTACCTCCCTCATCTCCTCCCATGCCCCTCTCCAAGTCCACCTGTAGGAGAGGTCTTCCTCTCCTTCCATCCGACCCTGGCTTATCAGGTCTCATCAGGACTGGCTGCATTGTCCTCCTCTGTGGCCTAGCAAGGCTGCTCCTCCCTCGGGGGGAGGGGGAGGTCAAAGAGCCACCACTGAGTTCATGTCAGAGACAGTCCCTGTTCGCCTTACTAGGGAACCTACTTGGACACTGAACTGCCATGGGCTATATCTGAGCAGGGGTTCTAGGTTATCTCCATGAATGTACCTTGATTAGAGTATGAGCCTCAGAAAATACCCCTGAGCCCAGAAGTACAGGAGCTCTACAGGAAGAGCAGCAGACACACTAAGTCTTAAGTTTATGGTTGACAGTGATTGAGAGCACTCTCCCCGACAGTCACTGGGGAGGGAGAGAAGATGTAGGTTTGGGGGAGAATGTAGATATGAATAGATGTGTAAACCCCATTTGTAAATGTGAAGACAGGCGATACATAGGAATTCCTGACATCTATGCTTCAGATGGCGGTGTTACACTAACTGGTTCTCCCCAGGCCCCATATGCTTTCTGACCTCACATCCACTTCATCAGGTGAGCAGCTTCTGTTGTGAGGCAGTGGAGGGCTAGAGAACGAAAGCAGTTTGCCCAAAGGACTACCTGCCCTGGCGTGTTCCTGTCAGGGCAGGTGAATTCTTCTGTGGCACTGATCTCAGCCTTCGCTGTAGATTGGACTCACCTGGGAATGTTTACCCTGCCTGGGTCCTTTCTCCAGAGATGATTGTATTGTCTTAACTGGTAGGAGGTCTGCACAGTAAAGGTGGTTTTATTTCCGTAGACCCAAGAGTTATAGTCGCGTTAAGGATGATTTCTCTGCGGACATGTCCAGCCAGTGGCCCAGATAGCAAAGGATGTGGCTCAGCACATCCATATGTGACAGTATTAAGATGGTGTCTCAGGGGCAGAAGGGTGGATACTTCCGATGCTTTATGGAGTCTCATTTCTCCAGACCTTTCCAGTACAGGTAATCTTGGACCAAACCTTAAGAAACAGGGTTGAAGTCTAAGGAGAATGAGTTGATTGTGGTGTACATTACAGGCATCTACTTGAGATTCTTGCTGGCTAAGTTAGATGAGGTGAGAATGGAATAGTATATCTAAGAAAGAGCCGGTAAGCTTTCAGGGTGTCCATTTCCAGGGCTGTGGGTGGACGTCTATGAGACGGTCTCTTAGCAGGTGCCCACTTTTGAGATTAAATATCTGTCATGTGTTGATCCATAAATTTCATTTAACTAGTATTTGTGAGGTACTAGGGGCAGAATTTATCTCCTACTTTTTTGTGTGTATATTTATGCCTAAATTGAACTATGCATTGAATTGAAATGATGATGTTTCATTTGTCAGAATAAAATTTTAGAAATGCTATTTTTCTTCAAATATTTTATTTTTTAGCAGTTAGTAAATGATGTTATCAACTAGTATCATCAGAAAAATGAAACTGTTTACAAACATTATTTAATTTTCTTAAATAGGGATGCATTTTGGCCCAATGGCATTTTAGCAGAGACTGTTCCATGCAGAGATAAAGCTATTCGGATGAGAACAAGAATTGCAGGAAAAACAAAGTTATTTGCAATTATGCCAGGTGAGTGAACATATTTTGATTGAAATTTGGTTTATTTTTATTTTTTCTGGTTTTTTGATATTGATTCTGTGCTAATTTAGCTCATTTTTACTATTATGATGACCCCCAGGCGGTGACTTACTATCTACTAGGTACTCTGCTGCCCAGTTCTCATGTACTCTGCCAAATCCTCCTGACCATCCTTTGAACAAGTCATTATAACTCTATAATTTTGTGTATGAGGAAACAGGGGTTTGTAGTTGGTGAGAGTAGCAGGATGCTGCTTCATTTCAGATGATTAAAAACCAAGTTATAGCTCGGTTGGCAGAATGCTTGCCTGGCACTGCCAAAGTCCTGTTTGTGGTCCCTAGCACTGAATATAGTGGGCATTGCAGGCACATGGCTTTAACCCTAGCACTTGGCTAGCCTGCTTTACGTGAACCCCACTGAAAACACAAGGCGAAGTATGGAAATGTAAGAAAGAATGGTTAACTTAGAATAAATGTCCATTGGGGTGCAGGTAACTCATTGATCAGTAATTAATCCTTATTAAAGCATAACTCTGAAATGAGCATTTTGTTGGACTTATTTGAATATTTATTTGTGATACTGCTATATCATCAGTATAGATTTACTTATCCTTTGTTTTTTCCTCCCTCAGAAAGAGAGCCTGTGTCAACAGTAGCTTTAAAAACATGACTATAAATAAATGCCTAGATGTACCTTACCTCTGCTAGTTGTGGATGTAGAGAATGGATAAGATGGATATATATGTTCTCTTGTCTGTTGTTACCTATTTTCTTCTTAGAGTTTTACTTTGTTTCTTTCCTTCTTTTTCTTACTACTTTTGAGGTGAGGCCTCATGCTATGGCCCAGGCTGGTGTGATATTTACTGTGTCGCCCATGTTGGCCTGAAATTCAATGCAGTCCTGCTTCAGTCTCTCAAGTTCGGGGAATATAGACCTGAGCATAAGCTACCGTGGCTGACTTTTCTTATAAAATTAGATTTTCAGTGTTTAGTTTTCCATTTCAAATTAGAAACCTGCCACATTGCAGTTGCTTTTCCCCATAGGGGGTTACATTTGGTGGCATAAAGCATTGACACTTAGAAAATGTAAAGAAACCATGAACTAGCTGCTTTTCTGTTCTAATAAAGCAGACTGTGCCATGGCCTGACACAGCTGCAAGGCTCTTGGTTCAGGCTGTGCGCTCGGCATCAGGCTTACCGTGGCGCTCTCCCAAAGCTTATGTTCTTCCATGGGAACAACAGACAGGTAAATAAATCACAGTATGTTATGAGGTGATCAGTTCTAAAGAGGAAAATAATAACAGCAGCTGAAAAGAGGCAGTGTCATGTGAGCTCCAGATGCAGAGAGAGTTGCCAGAGAAACTCTTGCTGTGAAAAAGGCCTACAGAAGTTGAGGGAGATGAAAATTATATAATTTTATATATACTTAATCCTGTATTTTGTATTAGGCTCACATATTTATGCTAAATTATAGTGTATCTCTGCTTAAATATAGACCTTTTGGAAATTGCAAGTGTTTTTATGTTTCTCAGAACTTTATTATTAAAAATAATATTGAAAATAAACATCACATGGCAAAATTAACCAGATCCAGAGCCTACATTTCAGTGAATTTTTGTACACTTAGAATAACTTGTTTTTTCACTATTGAACATATTTTCATGTATTTATCTACCACCAAAAAAAATGAAAACCCCACGACAGATTTAAAACTAGAAAAACAATTAGCTCTGTATCAGCTTTTGTAATTCATATCCATTACCCAGTATCAGTTGTTCCTTTTCTAATATTTCGCCTTTATTGCTTTGCATATTATACAGTACAGGCATGTACCTTTGTTTACATATACATTTATACATACGTGTGTGTGTGTATATATATATATATATATATTTACATTACTGACTATATTCCATACATGAGGGAGAATGTGGGTTTTTTTTTTTTCTCTCTCTGAGATTGTGTGATCTGACTTATTTAATATTGTACATTCTATGTCTGCACACTTCTAAATTTTGCTGTTTCTTCCTAACACAGCAAAATAATGGTTTTGTTCTTGGGGCCCTTATGAATGACTCCAGGACAGTCATATCTAGTTGTCCAATTTTCCGTCTGTGGTAATCTGTAAGCTGCACACTTGCTCGCCCTCATGGTAATGACAACTTTTCCATTCTTTACTTTCTCTTACAGGTACTCTAAACTTGAGGCAAATTTCTCTACCTTCTTTTCTTAGCACTTTTAATTTTTGTCTCATTTGTTTATTGATGTGTTTTTTACCAGGGACAATCCTATCCTCGTCCTGCCCAAGTAGCAAAATCAGCTACAGTTATTGCTTCTGCAGAGTGTATTTTCTTATTTCACTGTAGACATCTCACTGTGAACTTCTTAGTAAATGAGCTCTTACAGATCTGTACAGCTATAAGGATATTGGTTATTAGAACCCTTCACTCGGTAGTGAAAGGAAAGGAAGTGAGAACTACCTGAGAATTAAGAGAGGGTTGTGACTGTGATCTGGGATGTATGTGTATGGCTCCTGGCTTTCCTGCTGTATTGTCTTTCGGGTCTACAGTGTCGGTGAGGCTAGATACAAGTGTGCGTAAGACTGTCACTGTCACACACAGCTAACTAACTTGATACCTACTGCTGATGACTTACTCTGCTGTATGCTTTAGATTATTTATGACCATAATTTAGGAAGTATTTCCTTTTTCTGGGGAATGAATATTTGTATTTTTCTCTACTTCATTCAGACGAACTGAAGCACATTATTGGAGCTGAGACAACACGGAAAGGTATTCTTCGTGTTTTTGAAATGTTTCAGCACAACCAGTTAAATAGAAGAATGGTGTATGTCTTCTTGGAAGGCTTTTTAGAAACCTTATTTCCACAGTATAAATTTCGGGAACTTTTCAACAAACTTCATTCAAGGTCAAAGCAGATGCAGAAATATAAACAAAAACTTCAAAGTACTCAAGCGCCTTCTTTACAAAAAAGGTGACACTCCAACCTGTGAAGCTGCTGTTCGTTTTGTCAGACTAGTGGAGTGGACAGATCTTCTGGGCCGTAACTCATATACTGTTGTGTCTACACCAGTCTTTCAGTGTCAGAAGAGATTACTACATCCATATGACTGGTTCTTCTCCTTCTCGTCTGTAATCCAGCCACTACCAAGACAGGTTCCTGTGTCTTACGTGATTGCGGCATAACGTGCAACACTGAGAGGATACTACTCCATCTCATTCAGGGACGGAGTTGGTCTCTTGTGTTCCAAACTAATCAGCATTCTCCACCAGTAACAAAGTGCCAGAGTGTGTGTATGAGAGCTGTGGGAAGCACAAAACAATGATTCATACGTAACTTAACTAATTAGCTTAATAGCTGCAGACTGCAGTGTGTGATTGGGAGAGATTTGTTTCACTCAGTGATCTCCTGGGTTGTTGTCAGCATTTTGCTATCATGTGGGTTGGCAGGAGTGATCTTCAGAACGATTGTTCCAAGGCCTGGGGAAAGTTACAGAATGCCCTTACTTTAGGAAATGACCCTTCCCCAAATGACAGTCTTGTGGTATAAAGGAAATCACCATAAAATAAGCCAATCAGAACCAGAATTTGATTGGATTTATTATTCATTGATAAAAATTTGTATTGATTTTTGTGTGCTTTAAGGGCTCCGCTCTGCTCTTATGGTACTACTCTCCACTTCCCTATGGCATTCTGTGCAGAAGAAGCATGTGGTAGCTCTTATAAGTTCATTTTTTTAATCTTTTAACAGATTACTGATTATATAGAAGGGGAATTATTTATTGTAAGAACTGCCAAATACATTCTGTTCTTCTAAAAATTGGAAATTAAAACAGTACTCTATTAAAAGTTACCATATGATAACTTTAAATCGTATGATCTAGACATGCCTTAGGTAACTGTCGACATAGCAAATCAAAGGGTCAATGAGCTTATAGCCCTGTGTAAACATACAAATGCCTAATTCTCCTGTGTGTACATATATGAAAATAAATAATGAAAACAGAACTGTACTATTTTTTAAAATATGCTTTTATTTATATTTCACATAATGTAAAATTCTAAATAAAGCTAGTACACAAAACCCTTTGGTGTATACATTTAACTCCCTAATATTTTATATCAGTGAAGCAAAATACCTTTTCCAGTTTTGAAGCCTTTGCATTTCCTAGTGTTCCCTTCATTTTGTCCATTAGGAAGTCTTCATATCTCATATATGCAGGATTTCTGTACTTTTAAATACTTCCCATGACTAAGGGTTGGGATATATCGGCTCTTTTTGTCTTCAAAACATTTAACACTAAAACCTTAAAATGGTGAAGCTACTTTTCAGCACTGAGTCAGTGTCCTAGTGTTAAAGAATTGGGTGCTTCCAGGTCTCGATATCCTAGTTATTCGGGAGCTTTAAGATTGAAGCAAGGTACTGTGTCTTGCCTTCACTTGGATCCTTTTACCCTGTGAAGCCTTCCGCAAAGCTTGGTGATGTCTATCAATGCTGCTGTGCATATTTTGTATGCATATATTCAGCATGTGTTGCATGTCTTTCAGAAGGAAAACCCTTTTTTTTTTTTCCGCAACTTGCAAGTGAGAAAAAGATTCTGTTTCTCTGGTAGGAGAAATGTTTCTTGTACTCGTCATATGCTCCTGCCCCTCCCCTGACCTGCCAGCCCCTTCCTTGGCCTCAGGCTTAAAATTGGGTATGTCAAGTCTACAGGAAGTGTCAGCCTGGCCACAAGTGCAATAATTTCATACATGCCCTCCCATTTCAATTATATTTTTACATGAATAAATCTAAGTCTATACAGAAGGATTCATGCAAGAGCCTAGTGTGTACATGTGAAAAAGCATTTCTATATAAAGTGAGAAAACTGTCAACCAGGGGAAAAAGAGGTCATATAAAATGCAAATTCTTCCAACAGCCCTGCAAGACAACTACAGTCATACCAAAACAAACAAAGAGCAAAAACAAAACTATTTGAGTAAATAGTTTTTTAAAGTAACTTTTGTTGAGAAGAGAGTTTATATTTGCAGAGCAGAACTGTCGAATGGTCGCGTGTATTTACGCCTCTGTGTTTTACAGCGGAGAGTATGGTCGAGCTACAGCTGCAGCCTAACCGTGGCTTGGACCAGCTGTGTAGAGTGTGTAAGCCGGAAGCAAAGTACAGTGTACTATGTTTTATAACGTTATTTTATTTTGTGCATCTGTTGCATTTATGAACATCTACACGGAGAGGCTTTATGTCTGCTGAGGTTCAGTTTCTGAATGCTTTTAAGTCAGCCGTGCCTTCAGGCAGGAACCTTCCAAATTAATCATTCTTTTGGGTTTTGTGATTTTTTTTTTCAGGTAGTGTATAACTACATAGAGACCATCCCATCTCGTTCACCTGAAATTTGATCATAGGACTTAAGCGGAGCACGTAGATGAGCGTTTCCCGCAATTAAGGTGTTCCGTGTAGTTGCTGGAAACAGTTGTGCCATGGAGCAGTGGACGCACTTTGTTAGCCTTAATTTAAAACAAAAACTTTCTTCAGTATATCAGTTTCATCACTGTAAGTTTGTGCTGCAGGTGTTTGGGGGGAAAAAAAGTCGCACAGTTAAGTGTAATGAAAGTGTACCATTTTTTAAATTAACATAAATTTCACAATCTGCGGTTTTAATTTTGTGCAATATTTTTATTTAATGCATGTTTCCTTGAGTAATTGTAAAATAAGTACATTTTTTAATGTTTTGAGATATAGTTTAACTGTCTTCTTAATCCAACAACTTCATTCCGTTGTTGCTGCACCTTAATTAAGGACTTGTTTTAAAAGTCTTTTTGTCACTTGTAAAATTCTTTTATTAGAAAATTTTGCTTATGGGAGCATGGCTCCTGTATTATAAGGGAAAACTAAAGAGCACATTTTAGGATTTTAATTGTTAAAAAAATTACCTTGTGCATATCATTGTACAGTAAGTGTCAGTTGTGCCTAACTGCTCTATCAGTGCTCCCCTTCCTTATTAACACAGGGGAAACAATCAGAATGTCAGTTATTTTTCTTAACTAAGAAGATTAAAATTTTTATTTGGTTTGTGTTATGTTCTGTCTGTTAGAAAATACTAATAAAATATTAACAAATACCTTTGTTGAGTTTACTTGGAAATATGTGTTATTTTTTGAAGTGCTTGCTGAAAAGTCTTGTTTTTATATTTCTGGTGTACTTCAATTTCAACCTAGAAATTGAGAAAATCGAGTTCAAAGATTATAGATAAGCTACTGAATAACTAAAACTAGCTAGATTTATTTATTTATTTTTATTTTATGGGGCAGACTATTGGATACCACATTCTTAAAGAAACTTTATATTTTCCTGTCATATTATATAATGATTTTCCAAGAGACAAAGATCTAGAATTTAGCAAGTTTTATTTGATGCCATTTGAAATTCATATTTGGCTGGCATTTTAGACATGTTCTGTTCTGAAAGACGGTTTATTTGACATTCAGTAACGTGCTTGGTTGCTCAAAATATGCATAGTCTTCTTGGTGTATATCCACAGATGCTCAGGCATCAGTTAAATACCTATTACCTCACTAGGAACTGCCATGACATTTCACAGAATACTCTAGGTATCCATCCCTTTAAGGTGAGTGTTGGTGTGCTTCAAAGGTGTCCTTTGAGATAGCTTTAACAGAACTGTCTGTAGTATTGACCTGAATTCCACAATGGCAACAGTCCAAAACATTGTACCAGAGGCTCTGAGAGTCTTTGAAAGCTTTACCTTGCCCTACCCCCTTCCTAAACTTCACTGATCACAGAATCTTTGACATAAACAGTGTAAGGATCATGTTCCCAGTGTTGAGCTAGGAATATTCACTGGAAAGAAACAAAAGTTGTGATATCTTTGGTTAAGGAAGTATGAACTGTACTGAAACAAACAAAAATGTGAATGTGGGACAGAAGTGAATTTATTAAATTGTTTGTAAAATGTCCATTCTTGGAGAAAATAGAAAATTAATAAACACCTGGCTGCACAGCAGATGGTACAGTGGGATCTGGCTGTTAGTACCAGAATGATGAACTGAGAGAAGGGTGCTAGACTGTGTCCTCAAGGGAAGTGAGAAAGGTGTTTGCCACAGATTGGTTTTTCCTGCTAGAGTCAAACCAGTAGTGCCTAGAAAATTCATTGAGAAAAGCACACATTTCACTTTATAATTTTTGTACTAGAATAATGGCTGATAATTTATTTGATTCAGGAAATTTTGTAGTAGCTCAAAATGAAAATTATACTTCTCAAGCCATGCTTGTTGATGCAGTATATGAGAAATGTATTAAATATGACCTTTTAATTTGGGGTGACATATTAACAGCAGAATAAAACACTAGAATTGTGTGTGTTGGAAGTCCCAACCCTACCCCTGACTGACAAGAAGCTTCCTAGGACCACAGGATGGTAAGTGAGCTAGACAAAAGGCAAACCAGGCTTTTCATGAAGTGTGGGGGTGACGACTGTAAACTGGCAATGGTTCCTCTCAGGGGAGTCACACAGGAAGCACTTAATTCCTCACCAAGGAGTTAGGATAAAACGGGAGATATTTGAAGACTTTGTGTCTGAGGCCATCCCCCGTCCCTGGCTTCCTGGTACCAAAAGTGCAGACTCAACGGAAATGTATATTCTGTGTGGACCAATGTTTTCATGCAGTCTACATTTAGTGAAATGTCTTCCTAGATGGACACTCCTACAACAAAGTCAGACTTCTGAGAGCTGGGGCCAGGCTGACCAGCAGCCCAGCTTCCAGGGGCAGGAGTCAGGCCTGCTCTGCCACCTCCTTAAATGAGCACAGTTGTTCCAAGGAAGGGATGAGAAGCTGTGACAGCATTGGAGAATCTATACCCTCAAGTAGAAACTGGCAGAAAAAACTTCCATGGAGGTGAAGGGAGAATGTTAAATTGAGAATGTGTTGCAGTCCAAGCAACAGGAGGAGTGGCGTGTTTCCAGTAAAGATTACCAGAAGGAGTGGTCACACCCCTGCTCTCAGCACCTGTCATAGTAGGCACTGTCTTCCCTTCTCTAGCTTATAGATGGCACCTGGGTGTACAGACTCCCAGCTGGGAAGTACGAAACAACCACCACCGGCTGGTCTGGCTTCTCGATACCAGCCCTTGACATTGTGGGGCGGTTTTTACTTGTGGCACCCATCCTAACAACAAAATGGAGTCTTCTCTCTCTGAGCATAGACGTGACAAGCTTGCGGTTTCCCTGGTAAAAGGCAAGTGAGCTCCTAGTGCCTTAAGTGGGGTGGAGTGTAGGTAGAAAACCAAGCATTTTTCCTTACCTTCGTGTAATAACCACTCTACATTTGGGAGCACAGGGCATAACGAAAAACGCGGGTTTCCAAGGCACATGAAGGTGTGAGACAATTATATGAGAAAATTGACCATTTGTGTCACAGGTTACCTACTTAATTAACTTAGTGCTATTTACAAAAGGTAGTTTTCAAAGACCTAGCATCCTTTTTGTTTTGAGTTTGTCTTTCTAAAGCCTGAAAATTACTTTGCTGTGTTCTTTACAAGTAAACATATTTCTAAAGAGTTTCCCTCAGGCAGGCGGATGCCCTCGTGGGATGCCGGGTGATGGTACTAATGCCCCTCTTTGGCCCCAGGCGCACCTGGCCCCCAGTGAATACTGTGCCCTTGCTGACTCTGTTGTCTGTCTCCCTGGACTTGGTAAACTTGGTTCCGGTTTTGATTATCGCAAAGCAGTGTTCAGAATCCACTTTTTGTAGCTTGATCCTCTTGTCAAGCAAGCCATTGTGTCTTGTTCTCCTGCCTGTCTTGAGGACACTCTCCGATAGCCGCCTGTCTCACCTGCAGGATTTGGTTGTTTGCATTTCTGACTTTATCAGCTTTTTTCTATGAGTGGCGAAATTGTCTGTCTTATTTACAAAAAAAGGGGGGGGGGCAAGAAAAATGTTTTTTTTTGTGCCTGCGGGGAAGAAAGCAGCTCCCTGCCACTTTCTTTCCTTGGTAGATTTGTAAGTTTGTTCTTTGGTTTTTAAGTTATCGGTGTAGTCAAAAGCACAGCCACATGTGTGTTTGTGCGTGCATATGTATTTTCATGCCTGTGTGTGAATGTAAATGAAAAGCCTTTTTGTCTGTGGAAAAGTAGCCTTTAGAAGTTCAGTTGTAGTCCTTGTATTTGCAGCTGGTATAGACCCACTTCAGTGTCTCTCAGCCTCTTCATGAGATCTGAAAAGCCAAAAACTGATCTGAAAAGGCAGACTATTAAATAGGAAAGAATGCATGTAGAGATTTATGGGGAAAAAAAAAAACAAAACAAAACATTTCCTGTAGTTTTGAAGACCTCAGCAGTTGTCCTTGGTTTTCTAGTGACTCTAGTGAGAGTGAATGTGATCTGGAATGAGCTGGCACATTTGAAGACTCTGCCCACTTTATGTGAAACTTTGTGACTCTAGTAGAACCTGTAGCATGTTGAGAAGTTTGACTTTTCTTTTTTTCCTTCAGAAAGAAAAAGTTCAAGATTGTGGGCAGTTGCTTACAGTGAACAAGCAAACATAATAATAATTATATATATATTTATATATTTATGTATAATATATTATGTAATATATATGCACACTGAAATAGGCAGTCCATCAGTAAACTCACCAGCATCTCTAGGCAACTTTAGGTCTGGCCAACACTCTTTCAGGCTGGCCTCTCCCCACCTCACAACCTCTCTACCTTAGCCTTCTGAGTACTCCATTTACAAATGTCTGGCAGCCCACTCAGCAGGTTGTCTTAAGTTTAGTGTAGACAAATTGGCATAAACAGGCTACCCATGCAGGATTGCTGTAAGTTTAAGAGAACCAAATAACTTATAAAGCAGGAGTGGGTAAGTTTGCTAGCTCAAGTATTTATGGCAACTCACCCACCTGGCAAAGAAAAGGGCTGAGGAAAGTGGGTGTAAACAGTGGCTTGAATGGCTAGATTATAAGAAGTGAAGATATGCATGCTGTCAAATAACTGCAAGCAGAATGCTAATACCATCTGTTTTTAAAACAATGCAAAGTGTTTGCAATTTAATATCTAAACACTGAAGAAGCTTAGGTGATACTAAACAATATTTGGATAAATTATATAAGTTTAGTAATTTTCATTTAAGATAAACATAAGCATTTTGTTCTAAAGTGAATAGCAGTACTAAAGTATCTAGTCATATGAGACCTGGTTGTATTTTCCTTTTAGAAAGCCCAATTTAAGTACTGAATTTCTAATTCTGAATAAATGAGTCAAAGAAGGGTTTTTTTGTTGTTGTTTATATTCCCAAAAGATTTTTAAGATTCTGGTCATATAAAAAATAAAATGTATTTAGGGATGGGTTTTCCACAGCTAGAAGGTAAAACATTTGAGAATACTGCTGGACCCACTATTTCTTGAATACATATTAATATGTATTCATATCCTTCCACCATTACCCTTTCTTATATCCTTCCTATTCCTGCCAATCCCCCTTTTCTTTCCAATAAGTCCCCTTCTATTTTCATGGTTTGTTTATTGCTTGTCCTGTGTAATTAATGCCACTTGCATGAACACAGTTGGGGTTTATTTCCCTAAGCAAGCACAACTTAACTAACAGCTTTCCCAGGAGTATCCCAGTTCTCCAGTAACCATTAAGCTGTCTTTAGCTCCTTAGGAAGGGTGGCAGTTTCTAAGCCATCTGTCATGGTCATAAGTCTTTCACGAGTAACCACTGCAGCTGTAAGTTTATGAGTGCAACAGGCTAGGTCAAGTTCTATAGTGAGATTTCTGGCGTCTTTAAAAACCTGCTTCTGTTGGGAATATATTTATGTTTCAATCCCAGGTGTGGGATATGAGGCTGCTTCATATTGACCACAACAGCTAACTATGGTTTGTCTCATGCTCTAGAAGGGATATGATTTTTGCCAGCTGATGATAGTTTATGTTTAGAATTCTGGGGACTCCTGAGAGGGTATGAAAAATGCCAGAGCCCCTAGGGAAGTGGCAGCTGATGCTCCCCCTGCTCCTGCTGGTTCCTGCTACTGCCTTTTCTGGTTGCTTTTGCTATTTGGTGGATTGGTGCTTGCTGATTGCAGTTTGCTGGAT